GACTTTGTACGGCCTTTTGAGGCTCTGTAATGGTGAGGCTGCTGAAAAATGGAATCAATGTTTTCCCATCACATTGAAAGGAGTAAATTAGAATGAACAACAATCGTTACTAAAATACTTCATGTGAAAATCTCACCACCAACAGTTGACATAACGACATCGTTTTCATCATTCTTCTCATCTGTCATGGGAACAGCCTTAAAAGGGCTAGTGCTACAGATGTCATGTAGTGAGGATGTCACATATTTAACATTTTTAGCAGCTGCCATTCCTAGCACAAAGGAAGACATAACCAATTAAAACCTTAACAGGTGCCGCGCCTAGCACTTTAACCTAGCCATGGCATACCTTTTTTGGGCTTAATCCACAGGCCTGTCCAGTGACCACTACATAGAGGACAGTGCCACTTGCTTTTCAATCTGTTGCTGAACTGGCCCACGCACTTGCCGTGAAACCATTTGTTACAACCGGCTTTGTCGCAGCATATCTGAAACCTGATAATTCCTAATATGACGACGCGCACTTAATTAAATCCTAAAACAAACAAGTCGAAGGGATAATATGATAATATACTTACCCATCATCAGGAAATTTACAGATAGGACAGCGCTCCATTATATTTCATTACAGACATTCGCTTCACACGAAAAAACCGTTACATTACAAACTCACGAAAGACCGGTTACCAGTGATCGAAACTTCGAAAACTTTGAAAAGAGGATCCGAGGTACGGCGTAAGGGGCGGAAACGAGGTTCTAGCCTCAGACGGGTCTCTCGCTCCGTCTCCGTCATCTGAACGTGAAATCTGCCATACGAGGCGCGGTCGCCCACAACCCCCCTAGGTACTTAAAGATTGCGTCCCTCTCATAGCCGCGCCGGCCTAAAGAGGAGAACCGTGCGGCGCGGCTACGCGAGTGGCCACTGAACTTCCAGACAAAAATAAAAAAAACAAGTGGAACGTTTCTAAAGCAATGTGAAAGAAATGAAGCTTTTCGTTTCAACTTCAACTCTTCGACGAAATAATTCATGAACTTCCCTAATAGAAAGTAGACGTGTCATAGATGTCGAAAAGACGTCCATAGATGCCTGAGATAGAGAACCGATTTCAACGTAGAACAAAATGGTGAATTTTATCTTTAATTGCAAATAAAACGTGCAGACACATTGATAAAATAACGCTCTTCCCGAATGTCAACAAGTCGAAACGGAATATTTAGAAAATTAAGAAATATTTCGCATAAAGACGAAAAACAGCCCTTGTCCGAAAGATGCGCCATCTGGCGGAAATTCAAGAAAGTAGGCTTATCTAAAAGCATAGATGGCATAGACGAGAAGTAGAGCATACCTTGACGTTTACACGTCATATAACGTTAAGACTTCTCAGTTCATAGATGCTTCCCCTTAAGTAGAACGGCTATCGGAGTTGACGCCTCATGTACCACAAGCCATCTAAGCGTTTAGATGGCTTAGAAATGACGTAGAGTGCCTTGTGACGTCCACCCCTCATCTTCGGCAAGACATCGTGCAATTGCACGCTGTAAAAAATACTATTGTGATTTTTATTTACAAAATATGTTGTAAATTTGCGATATTCCACTCTCTTGTCGATCTATTCAAAGTCGATGCGAAGTGCTTGTAAATTTACTATCTCAAATTGTAATTTTACGACGCACATCATGGAAAATTTTCTTTGGAAACCTGCGCCCTTTTTTATAGGAGTGATGTGCTGAGTAATCTTTGATTTTGTTCCATTATTTTTATTTTTTAGGTCGTAGAAGAGTCAGCTAAAGACATTTCTATGGTGGTCACCGGATGTTGTGACCGACTGAAGGTGGAGCAGACCCAGATAGGCGAGGCTCGCAAAAGTCTGGATGCGGCGCTGTCGGTGGAAGCGGCGATCTGGATCAAGATGGAGAAAGCAGAGCCACCCGAGGACTATGGTAGTTCTTCGCTCAGCGTTTTTCGTTAGCGCGCGGGGCATGCCTTTCTGCTTCGTAAAATCAATCAAACGGGCTAGTGCTACAAGAAAGAGTTGCTTTCGAGTGCTTTCGAGGGCATCTCCTGTACCAGACCTTTTAACAAAGCACCTTATGGCGCTAGAAAGAGAAAAGAACGATCAACGTCCTAAGGGGTCAGCGTGGCGTCGAGCTGGCCGGGCCCCGCCACGCGGGGGCAACGCCACTAAGCGGCGCGGGCGGCTTGCGTTCGGCCCCGTAGCGTCGCTCGTAGGCGTCTGCCCATGATACCGAAAGTAGGGTCTTACAGGAAATTGAACGGGCTTTCCAATGAGCCCACTCTTAAGCAAATCAAAGGTGTCATACTTGGCCAAAATCCGATTTTGAAACGAAAAATCGAGTTTTTGGTACGTCGCGTGAATATTTTCGGAGAATGGACAAGCGCATTCGAAAGAGGGTCAGTTTTTACCCCTCCTTAGGACGTTGATCGTTTGAAAAAAGATGGATCGTGGCGCTCGCTAGATCGAGTGGAAGGCGCAGTGGCGGGAAAACTTTATTGACCCCCGATAAGTAGGCAACCCGTCGCGCAAGGGCGAAACGCTCTTGCAGGTGGTCGTCGGACCACTTAAGGAACGTTTCCACCAAGTTTCGTCCAAAATTTTTTTTAGGGGGGCACGTTTGGCATGGAATGACCCAGGGGGAGATTTTTCGCGTGTTTTTCACTGAAAAGGTTAGGTTAGGCTGAATCAACTTTTCCAATTTTTCGGACCCCCAAGATTTTTTTCCGGAAAAAACCGAATTTTTTCCCAATTTTTCCGGGAAAAAATCCGACCGGGCGAACCCTATAAACTTGAAGTGGGCGGGCAAGATGGCCGCCGGAGCTTCCTCTGTTTTCAGATTGAAAAATAAAATTTTTCTCTTGTTTTAGCGGTCTGACGTCTTAGCCTACGCCAAGCTTTAGTTCTTGTAGATTCGAAAACAGTTTTCACATTTGCAAAACGTTGAAGGATTGCTGAGAATTTGCAATGCACGACCCGCCCGGAAACACCATATTTCGTAGAAACTTGTTACTCGCGAAATATTGTACGTACGGATTTCAAACATGTCATAACATGGTTCAGAGACATTCACAGTTCTTAATTCAGCACTTTCGTGACCTGAAATATGTTTAGAACGATTAAACTCACGATATTTCGGCCTGCGGCTCGTCAAGCGGTTTGAACGACCCTCCAGGTATGAAAAATCCAGCGGTCAAGAAGTTCGGGTTGCGCGTTTTGAATCCAGCCTGCGACAGATATCGAATAATTTGAGAAAGTTCCGTATGGCGAGCAACCAAACTAGCCCTCGTAGCTAATTTTACGCGAAAGGCAGCTAATTCTTGGCTCGCATAGCTAAATTTCCTCATGCCAGAGGTCAATGCGATTATTCCTGAGCTTAAGTTGAACTTTAACTTTTAATGCTCAGCTCAGCTCTGTGAGGTGGGGTGGACACGCATGCCAACCAAAATCGCGAAAACATTTTAATTTTAGCGCGCCGCAGGCCAAGGTAGACGCACATTTAGCTCAGCTTCACACGGTTCTAACGTGCGTCTACCTTGTACCTTTCACGGAATCAGCTGATCCGATAGGCTTACCTCTGAGAACAAGTCCCGCTTTGGTATAAATGGGTCTCGTGGCTGTGTTACACGAACGAGACGATCTCTGTTCCTGTTCCCCAACTTTTGATTTACTTTGCTTCCGTGCCGCTTGTTCCAGCCCTCGCTGATGGGGCGGCCCAACTGCTGTCGGACCTGGCCGAGCCGTCGACGGTGTGCGAGTTGACGGTGCACCGCGGCGCCGCCGGCACCGCGCCAGGCTCCGTCGCGTGGCGTGGAAGCGTGTTGCCGCAACGCGACGCCGCCTCGCGTCTCGCGCTCTGCCGCTTGTTGTGCACCGGTGAGCTCCGCCCGGAGGAGCCGAGGCCGACTGAAACCATGAAATCCGACGGTAAGCAATCGCCACATTCTCCTATTTTGCCGTAAGAATTTGGAATGCAGGATAGTGGGATATCGTCTTTGAACGAAATCTAATTTTGCTGTATTTGATCCGGCATTTGAATTTGATATGCAAGACCTTGCTAGTACGGACACTTCTGGACATGCCTGACCGTGCCTGACGATGCCGTCGTAAGGTTTAAACGAAATTTAAGGCGCGGTTTAAGGGGTTTAAGGGGAGCACTGAAAAACAATGTCTCATTTTTTGAGGAAAAAGGAAAAACTTTTAGAAACTCCCATGTCTGAGGAAGAGTCCTCCAATCTCGCCTCAGATTATGAGGAATATTCTGAAAAATGAGGAAAAATCCCACATTCTTTTAGGTGATTTCCTCGAAATCTGAGGAATTTTTGTCAAACAAGGGGAGTTCCTCAAAGTTTTCCCTTTTCCCTCTAAAAATGATACATTGTTTTTGCCGTGGGAGGCTTCACTGAAATAATGTTTCTTTTGAGGAAAAAAAATGTAGATCGCCAGACATACTGTTCAGTTCGATATTGAGTATCGTTACAACTTAAGTCTTCTTTTTGAAGCGCAACTTCCTTACTATTGCTTTGCAATGCAAATTGCAAACGTATTTGCAATACAAAAAAAATGGAAATTGTTACTAACGTTGCAAAGCATTTCGTTCGTAAGCATTTTACAATGAGGTATTGTGATTGGCTCCTTCAGAACTTATAGAATTTGTAAATTCTCAAAATATTCCTTGCGCTCTCCGTTATTCCTCGCGGTTTGTCAAGTCCCCGACAGATCCACAGGGCCGCGCCAAAATCTCAGCTTGCTTTGATTCCCTTCTGTTAAAACAACGTGTGATGCAGGTCAGGGCTTTCATCTCATTTCTGCTCGGACCAATGGATTACCCGCTTGCAACTTACTTCTAAACTATGTTTCTTAACAGTTTAGCGGCCGGGCCTGGAAGGAGCCCTGCCGCTCAGGCCTTATTTAGAAATATTTTTTTTAAGGTCTACCCTGGAGTTCAAAGGAATATTGTTCTAAAAGTGGCACGTCTCTTGTCATTGTCAGACACCTGGGAAGAGCGCAGCAACGAGAAGATCATGTCTCCGGAGGAAATGGTGGCCGCCGTGCACGTGGGGTCCCGAGTTGCCCGCGGGTCTTGCTGGCGCGTGGCCTGGAACAACGACGCCAGCTCCGAGGAGGGTGTCGTGACGTCAGTCTTGGACGGCGGCCGGGTGCGCGTTCGCTGGGTGCAGGGGGGCCCTGAGTTTGTGTACTCCATGACGCCCACCACTCAGCACCTGCGGCTAGTGCCCAGGCGCCCTATGGTAAGTGTCGTGTTAACTGTGATGCGCCCTTTCTCCCATGAGCCATTTCTTATGCCTGAAAGCTAAAGATGAGCCAACATGTTCATCGTGATCGCTCAGACACAAACATGAGGTGTTCGAGCACTACTCAAACAGAAGTTCGTAGGCGAACGGAATTGTTTGTTTCAGAAAGATGCATCATATAAAGGTGGGCAGTAGCAGATTAATAAATAACTGCCGTTAGAGTTAATGCAACTATTGTAAACGATCATGGACAGCTTTTATAACTAATGAGCGATAAACAATTTGTTATGATTGCTCGTGTTCGGATCGAGTTTTAACAAATTACATTGTTCGGTTCGTTCGCAAAAAAATGGATGTTCAGTTCGTGTTCGTTCAAAGATTTTTAGCCCAAAGTTGTCCGAGTTCGTTCAAATAGTGTATTCCGGCGCCAGGATTAGAGAAGACTCATGGAAGAACCAAAGCCTCCTGCGCATGCGCGGGCTCTGGTGGGGGGAGGCTCGGCTGGCCCGGTGCCGTCCCCCACACCGGCCCAGCCACCCCAACCCATAGCCCGCTCATACGCAGTAGGCTCTTGTTCTTCCATGAGTCTTCTTCAGATCTGCCGCCAAAAACTATTCGAACTGGCCTGTTCGCTCATCTCTAATACAAGCTTATGCGCAATTTCAAGTGCAAAACTGAAAAGTTGTTCAGTTTGACCTGCCAGCTGTTTTGATTTAACTTTTTAGTTTTTATTTTATTAGTATTTTAACTTTTGATGTTAACACGATTATTGCAGGTAAAAACTCTTTTAAACCTTGTTGTATACAGTTACCCTTATAAAAACATTCATTGAATCACCGGTTGTGCACATTCGAGTGTTCAATTCAAGATTTCTCGGATTTGTCTTAACAAGGTCCTGGGTTTTAGGTTTTAGTTGATGCAATTTCGAAGATTATATTTACCTAAGGTAGTCAAAACAGGGTACTGTTTATTAAACTATATCGCATTTTCTTATTGAATCCAATGTTACAGGTTCAACTTGGCCGTAAAGATGCAAAATCACTTAACCTGTCTGAAATTAGCATGAAAAGTACGCTTCAGAGATCACTCCCCACGGCAAAACTCGCGGAGGTAAGTCTAGGATGAAGCACCACTTTTTTCGGTATTATTAGGCACTGGTCTTTGCGGCTCATTTGCTACACTCACTGTTAAAACAAACAAAAACAACGACTTTTTGGCTAAGCGTTAGCGCAGCCTTTGCTCTCAGAAGGTGTAAGGCAACTCTTTTGTCGTGTGTCTATCTGTAACTAGCTATATGTACGCCAGACGTCTCGCCTAACAGGCTTCACGATATCTCACGAAACACTGTTACGCTGCGACG